GCAAGTGCACGCGCCCTATAGCAAAAACCTCTCAAAAAAAATTTTTTTACAACATTTAGAGTATATGACATGATTTTTCCCAGTATGAATACAGTGCATATTAATCAAGTCAGATATTACCATATATATACTAACTTTCTAATTACTTTTTAAGACAATGCTGGAGGCTTTTGCTTCAAAGTGGAATTTAGCAGTATGAATGATTTAAATCACATCCAGGCAGTGTAAACTGCTTTTAAAAAAATTTTTTTTAATTGTTTAATTTGCCAAAGGTGCACGTGCTCACCAGAAAGAATATAACTTGCTGCTGACTCAGACATACATGTTAATTCTCCACCAGCTCTCCTGGATCTTGGAAATTTATAAATTCTTGAACTGAATATGTCACTGTAGATGACAACTGAGGTAATTAACATCTCTTTAAATCAGCCAACCAGAACTCCATGTTCATCTCTCTCTACCTACCACAGTGGTCTCCTTCTAGGAGAGCCATCATATTATAACCATCCCTCATAAATCTGTGAGGATTTTTCCAAATGTACATTTCCACCTTTTAATATAGGAGCGAGCTACATATATGTTCAATCACAGTCAAGTTAAATAAGCATATTTAATAATGTACTACGTGGGGGCTGACAGGAGGCATGGTGGTTAAGGGTGCTGGAATCCCACATGGCCAACTGCGTTTTGAGTCCCAGACCTGGTGGCTTTCTTTCTTACTTTCTCTCTCTCTTTCTCTCTGTCCCTCTCTGGTAAAATTTAAATAAATAAATAAATAAATAAAGTTAAATAAAAAATAATCCTTAAAAAAAAAAGGAAAGAAAGAGGTTTTCCCAGTATAGTGCATGTACTCACCAGAGAGACAGAGACAGCAAGAAATCGCCCTCCAGGAGGGAAGGCCATGCCGCAATCTCTTCTCCATTCTCCTCTCAGGATTTCAGGCATGCATACACAGGGACCTGGCATAACTTTTTTGTTTGTTTGCTTTGTTTTGAGAGATTTTTGCTATAGGGCTCATGCATTCGCCAAATAGAGAGAAACAGAGAGACAGAAAGCGAGAAATCACCCCTGGGGAAATGGGCATGCCGCAATCTCTTCTCCTCCATTCTCCTCTCAGGATTTCAGGCATGCATACACAGGGACCTGGCATAACTTTTTTGTTTGTTTGCTTTGTTTTGAGAGATTTTTGCTATAGGGCATGTGTGCTTGCCAAGAGACTGGGAGAGACAGAGAGACAGAAAGCGAGAAATCACCCCTGGGGAAATGGGCATGCCGCAATCCTTCTCCTCCTATCTCCTCTCGAGATTTAGGGCACACACAGACACACACTCGGAGTGAGTTTTAAGCTACTGGGTCCAGGACTCGAACCATAGTCGATTACATGGGAGTCCAGCAATGTAACCATTATGCCATTTGCTGGTCCTAAAACAAAATCTTTTAACCCAAACAAACTGACTGACTTGAGCACTGAGTATGGGAAAACAGCTTTTATCAAACATATGAAATAGAAGGTGAAGAGCCACAAAGATACAGAAACCTGGGAGTGGCTCAGCCAGGTGGTATAGTGGTTAAGGTAGCTGGATCCCGCATGGCCAATAACACTGTTCAGGTCCCAGACCTGGCTGCTCAAAAACAAACTATGTGTGAGTGCACATATGTGCCCCAAATACTAAGAGTAGGGGAGAAGGGATTGTGGGATGGCCATCTCCCCTGAGAGGGGGGTTAATTTCTCATGTTCTTTCTCTCTTTCACTTTTCCAAACCCCCTCCACCCTCATGAGCACACATGCCCTATAGCAAAAAAACGAAAACAAACAAACACGGTAGCAAAATACCTTTTGTTTACAGTTCCATCTTAATTCTCACAGCTGGCAAAACACATTAAGGAAATACACGTACTGGTAAAGTTGGTACTTTACCTGAAGCCCACCTCTTTCCATGACCTTGTTGTCTCTTAGAAGTACTACTTACAGCTGACATTCCTTACTCACCTCTCCAAATCCTCCTTTTCCTAGAACTCTGTAATGTCTAAATGTGTTCTTTGTTACTGGTTGCCTAATCAATAATAAAAAAAAAAAGTTTCAGGTCTCACATTGCATTGTTATTTTAAAACAGAAAAATCTACCCAGCCTTGTCTTAGCCTTATTTATTGCACCATGTTGCTCATAGGATACGCCCAGGTCAGTGGATGTCTGTGTTCAGGCACTGTAGCTTTCTCTAGCGGGACAATTTTGTGCTTGCCCCACCAGAATCTTTGTGCTCACTGAAGCACATGGAAAATGCTGGAAACACTGAGGCAAGATGCACAGCAGTACAACAATCCTTACTAATGAAAAACAGGTTTGCAGTTCGCACACACTGGGAAATGTTTGCATATAACTCATGGCAGAATCTTTTTTTTTTTTTTTTTTGGAGAGATTTTCACTATAGGGTGCGTGCACTCGCCAGACAGACAGAGAGAGACAGAGAGATAGAAAGCGAGAAATCACCCCCAAGGGGGGATGGTCACGCTGCAATCCCTTCTCCTCCATTCTCCTCTCGGGATCTTGGGCACGCACGCACACAGGCCTGGCATGAGTTTTAAGGCACGGGGTCCAGGACTCAAACCACGGTTGACTACGTGGGAGTCCAGTGACATAGCCATTACGCTAACTGCTGGTCCCAACTCATGGCAGAATATTCAGCACACCTCTCTGAGCCTGTCAGAAAGCTGTTGAGGAAAATGACATATGTGGGATCTCCAAAAAGTTTATGGAAATTTTGTATTATGAAATTATGCATGGATTACAAAAAATTTTTTGCAACAAAAAGTAAATTTGTAGTCTGTTTTCATTTTTCTGTGAATATTTTGAAATCCCTGTATAATGCAATATCTATCCTTTGAAAAAGAACCTCAGAGAAGATGTTTAAACCTAATGTCTCAAAAAAAAGTGTGAGCTAGAACTAGAAATTGAATCAACTGATAATTGTAATAATAACATTAATCTAGTAGTAGCTAACACTTTAAAACTTTTTTTAAAAATTTGCTAGAGGGCACGTGTGCTTGCCAGAGATAGAGACAGAGAGAAAGAAGAAGGAAGCACCCCCTATGGGGTATGATCACTCAATCCCTTCTCCATTTCTCCAAACTGTTGGAATTTGAGGCATGCACACACATGTGCCAGGCATGTTTTTCAAGCCCCTGAAGCTGGGATTCAAACCACATAGTCATGTGGCATCCAGTTCCATTAACCATTTGGCCACAGGGCTGACCCACAGCTAACACTTTTTGAGGACTTATTTTGTGTATCGAACATTGTGTTAAGCATTTTACAGATCTCCTAGGTAATCCCAGTAACAGTCCAATAGGATAGATTCTATAATTACCTTTATTTTACAGAACAAGGATCTGAAGCTCATAAAGGCTAAATAAGCCCAGGGCTACACAGAGAGTAAGAGGCTGCACAGGAACTCGGACTGCAAGTCTTAACTGCTATGTCATATTAAATCACTGTAAATCTAAAATATGTTTATATTCTAATCACTACTCCAACAGTGCAAATGGCCTTTTAAAAAGAGAGAACAGGGTCAGGAACAGCAGATGGCATAATGGTTATGTTGCCAGACTCCCATGTAGTTGACCACAGTTCAAGTCCCAGAAGCAGCAACTTAAAACTCATGGTGTGTGCGTGTGTGCCCAAAATCCCAAGAGGAGAATGGAAGGGAAGGGACTGCAGTGTGGCCATCCCCCCGGGGGTGATTTTTCGCCTTCTGTCTCTATCTCTAGTGAGTGTACATGCCCTATAGGAAAATCACTCTTAAAAAAATAATAAATAAAATAAAACGAAGAGAATAGAGTCAACTGAATCAGAAGAAACTGTGTAATAAATATTAATGCATTAACTTTTGTACAAAAATGCCACATAAAACTCAAGATTCTAATAGTATTTTGGCAGATAGAAAAGTATAGAACAATCCAGTTTGCATTATGAGAAGTTGATACATGTTTCATTCAGTTTTAAATTAGAACCTACCTTTCCAAATATTTCCATTGTAAAAATCGAGAAAAATGTGGGCTTTCTTGGTATTCTTGAAAAGGTTTTCCACTTAAATATTTATGGACAACTCTAGAAAAAGATTTTATGCAATTATACACATTTGTTGCACTACAATATTAAAACAACCACCTGTTCCAGGAAAAAAACTGTAAACATTTTGCAAATAAGACTAGAATGAGGTTCAGACCCTATGGCCTAGTGGTTAAGGAAAGCCAGATCCCACATGGCCAACTGTGGTTTGAATTTCAGCCTCAGCAGCTTGGAAAACAAGCTGGGCATATGTCCATGTGTGTCCCAAATCCAAACAGGATGGAGAAATGGAGGAGAAAGGATTGTAGCATGACCATGCCACATTAGGGGTAACTTCTCCCTCTCCCTCTCTCTGTCTCTCTGTCTCTCTCTGGTGAGCATACTCCCTCTGACAACCAACAACAACAAAAGACTAGGTGTGGGCCAGTAAGTGGGATGGAGGCTAAGACGTCTGGATCCCACACAGCCTAAAGAGTGGTTCAAATCTCAGACTCAACAGCTTAAAAAACATTCTAGGTGGGACCAGCAGGTGGCATGGTGGTTAAGGTGCTGGATATTCCCACATGGCTGACCACGGTTTGAGTCCCAGACCTGGTGGCTTGCTTTCTCACTCTGTGTGGTGTGTGTGTCTCTGGTCAAAATAAAATAAATGAATGAATAAATAAAATTAAATTTAAAAAAAAGAAAAAGAAAAACATTCCAGGCATGTGTGCATGCATACTCAAAATTCTGAGAGGAAAATGGAGACGGGACTGCACCATGGCCATCTCCTCTGAAGGGTAATTTCCCCTTTCCCTCTCTCTATACTTCTCTCTCTCTGTATCTCTCTCTCCGGCAAGCACCTGTGCCCAACAGCAAACTAAAAAAAAATAAAATAAAAAAATAAACCAGGTTCAGGTCTGGCAAATGGCATAATAGTTACCTTGTAGTTACCTTGCTGGACTCCCACATGGGCCCTCTGCAATTCAAGTCCTGGACCTGGTGGCTTGAAACTCACACTGGGACCATGTGCATGCATGACCAAAAACCTGAGAGGAGAATGAAGGAGAAGGGGTTGCGGCATGGTCATCCCCTGGAGGGTGATTTCTTGCCTTCTATCTGTTTCTCCAGCACATGCAAGTGCCCTATAGCAAAAATCTCTCAAAATAAAGAAATAAATAAATAGACTAAAATGCTAGTATGAAAAAAGAAAAACCCTTTTTTATTTTTGAGAGATTTTCACTGTAGGGCGCGTGCGCTCGCCAGACAGACAGAGAGAGACATAGAGACAGAAAGCGAGAAATCCCCCCCCAGGGGGGATGGGCACGCTGCAATCCCTTCTCCTCCATTCTCCTCTCGGGATCTTGGGCATGCACGCACACGCGCCCGGCGTGAGATTTAAGCCACTGGGTCCGGGACGCGAACCGCGGTCGACTACGTGGGAGTCCAGCGACATAGCCATTACGCTAACTGCTGGTTCCCAGAAAAACCCTTTTTTCTTTTTGAGAGATTTTCACTGTAGGGCGCGTGCGCTCGCCAGACAGACAGAGAGAGACATAGAGACAGAAAGCGAGAAATCCCCCCCCAGGGGGGATGGGCACGCTGCAATCCCTTCTCCTCCATTCTCCTCTCGGGATCTTGGGCATGCACGCACACGCGCCCGGCGTGAGATTTAAGCCACTGGGTCCGGGACGCGAACCGCGGTCGACTACGTGGGAGTCCAGCGACATAGCCATTACGCTAACTGCTGGTTCCCAGAAAAACCCTTTTTGACCTTGAAAATACACCACCAAATAAGTTACCTTATGCTACATACTTCTTGAAGAAATTTTTATACCATCAATCATACCTCTTAGTTTTTTCTTACACATTTATTACAGACATAATAAAGCTCTTACTTGGGGAGTAGATGAGGAACAGAATACAGCCTGTTATTTACAGTGTTTACTGAGCAGACCGCAAGCACTGTTACTGGAGGGAAAATGTCAAATTAAGCCATATGCTGAGGAATCTGATAGCTTAGGAGACTGACAAATTAGCTGTAAGACAATAGTACAGCCAAAGTATTCTAACTATGCAGAGTTTGTACAGAACACTTGCTCTGGGGGGAGTCGGTAGGTGGTAAAGGGCACTGGACTCCTACATGGTCAACCCTGGTTTGAATCCCGGACATGGCAGCTTGCTTTCTCACTTTCTCTGGTCAAATTAAAATAATAATAATAAATACAACAAAATAGGGAGCAACAGTTCATAAATAGAAGGTAAGTATTAATGTACATGCACTGTACATTACATCTCCAAGAATCGTTGCAAAATACCTTTATCTTAAATAGTACATGTAAACCGTATTATTAATAATAAACTGTACTTGGGGCCAGCAGGTGGCATGGTAGTTAAGGGTGTTGGTCTCCACATGGCCAACCATGGTTCGAGTCCTAGACCTGGTGGCTTTCTTTCTCACTTTCTCTTTCTCTTTCCATCTCTGGTCAAACTTAAATAAATAAATAAATAAAATTAAATAAAATAATTCTAAAGAAAAAAAGAACACTTGCTCTGGGAAAAGAGGCATTTGGGACACATCTGAAGAAAGTGATGTTGGAGCCAAAGTAAAAGTTGTCCAAAGAAGAAGAAAAAGGTATACCAAGTATGGACAAAAGTCTAATAGGAAAAGACCAGGGTTTATTTGGGAAATTGCTAGTAGATCCAGAACCGAAGAAGCTTTGGCCATTATCCCATTGATTTTTAGAATTCTGAGCAAGTCACTTGAGTTCTGCTTCACTTTATTTTGTAAAAAGTTATTCATATGTTCTGGATCGATTAATGTTATAGAAAGTGATTTTCAAAATAAGGATCCTAGTGGGTCCCAAGACCTTTTCAGTGTGTTCAATAATGAAATTATCTGTAACAATACTAATAAGTTATGTGCCTTTTTATCCAATCAAGACACTATATAATAATGCTAAGATATATGTGTCTTTTTAGTCAATAATGACACTATTATCTCTAATAATGCTAAATATATGTGTCTTTTTATTTAACACAATACTATATTCATGACGATGCTAATACATATGCGCCTTTTTATTCAATGACACTATATAATAATACCAGCACTGGGCCAGTCCATGGCCTGGGGCCTAAGGCAGTTGGATCCCACATGACTGACCATATGGTTCATATCTTGGACCCAGTACCTTGAAAAAACACTCAGGGTGCATGTGCAATTCCAAAAGGAGGAAGATATGGAGATGGGATCGTGGTGTGACCATTACCCCTGGGGATGCTTTCTTGTCTCTCTCCAGTGAACTCATGGACCTTCTGGTGAAAATTAAAAAACAAACAAACAAACAAACAAAAACAAAAAAAGGCTAAAATATTTGTGCCTTCTTAAAACTTGGGTTCTCCAGAGGCCATAAGACACGTGATGGCATCATAGTTTTAAGCAACACTGGGACATTTGTGTCTTATATTTTAAAAGTATAACCCACATAAACAAACTCAGCTTTTTGTGCTAGTGTGGCCAGGTCCTTGGTTTTTATTTTAAGTATGCAACTTTGTAACAGCATCAGATGCTCCAGACCAAATCCCATCACACTCCAGTCACGCAGGTCTAGGTGAGCCTTTCCTGCTGCACGTGAGCCACCTGAACACAGGAAGATGGTCATGTCTGTCGATGTAATTCAAGTACCCAGGACAGTGCTTAGCACATAATAAGTTTGTAATAACTATCTGCTTAATGAATAAATGGATTCAACTCTTTGTGGTCTGGTGTCCCACTTAACACATCTTGTCCCACTTAAGACAAGACAAAAGTTTTGAAACTTCCTCAAGTCCTAGAATACATAGGAAAGAACTTGAAAAATACTAGCACAGGGCCAGCCAGTAGTGTGGTAGTTAAGGCACATATGGCTAACTGTGTCCTTCAAGTCTCAGGCCCAGCAACTTGAAAACATGCCAGGCATGGGACTAGCAGTTAGGATAATGGCTATGTCGCTGGACTCCCATGTAGTCGATCGCAGATCAGGTCCCAGACCCGGCGGCTTAAACTCACGCCGGGCGCGTGTGCGTGCGCACCCGCCCAAGATCCTGAGAGGAGAATGGAGGAGAAGGGATTGCAGCGTGGCCATCCCCTCGGGGAGGGAGGGGGTGATTTCTCACTTTCTGTCTCTCTGTCTTTCTCTGTCTTTCTCTGTCTGGCCACGCCCCATGCCCTGTAACAAAAAAACCCCCCAAAAAAAAAAAAAAAAAAAAAGAAGAGAAAACATGCCAGGTATGTGTGCATGTGTGCCCAAAATCTGGAGAGAAAAAGGGAGAAAAAGGATTGCAGTGTAGCCATACCCCCTGGGGGATGATTTCTCACTTTCTCTATCTCTGTCTGTCTTCCTCTCTGACAAACACATGTGTTCTATAGCCAAAAACAAACCAGCAAACAAAAAACCCAAAACAACAACAAAAATACTAGCATATGAGCCAAAAATAGAATTTCTACTTTTGTGGGACCTATTCCCTATAGCAGCAACTACCATGTCCACTCTCCTGAGGACCTCCAGCCCTGACCTCTCATCTGCCCCGGAATATGGCCTTTCTTAGGACCGGGCTGTGGCCTCTTTACCTTGCATTATTCTTCAACTCACATAGTCCGGCATCTGTTCCCTCTCTCCACCAACATGCCTCCAGCTCAGGTTACCAATGATCTCAGTGGAACCATGGGAGGGGAGTGAACCAGACTGCATGAGTTGAAGAGTGATGGACAAGAAAAGGTGGACATGGGCTGCAGGCTTTCTTCCTCAACTCTTTGTCATGCTGCCCACACTCCCTGGACCTGTGCTCTGCCGCCATGGCCTCAATCACACCCCAATATGGGTTATGGCTTCCAAATCCAGTCTCCCATGGCTGTCAGGTGAATACTCAGGATGCAGCTGTCTCCCTCTCAGCTTTGCTTAGTTGACTGAAACACACTTAAAATTCGACGTGTCCCCATGAGTGTATAGTCTGCTGTCCACTAGCCTCCTAAATGTCTCTCAGGTCCTGATATTTACCTCAAATATCACTGTTATTTCTCTAGTCCAGGTCACCATTGCCTGAATGACTGCAAAAGCTTCTAAGGTCTCTTGGACTCAATCATCCCTCCCCTCAAACCATTCTCTAAGTCGCATCCAGAGCAATCTTTTATACGCACAATGAATATGTCACTTCACTTGTTCTCAGAGCAAAGGACAAGCTTTCCCATGGCTACCTGGGCCTCGGTTTCCTTCTCTGTGAAATAAGTGGCTATTTGCATAAATATACAAAGCCCTACACATTTTACACCTGATCACCTCAGCAACCATTCTTCTGCAATCACAGGGAAGCAGAATTTCACTTAAGTGTTCTTAGAATTTTTCTGTTCATATGGCAAAGATTAAAAAAAAAAAAAAAGACACTTTAATTGAATACCTAGATCCAAAGAAGATGTATTTTTTCATCCTAAACACAAGTTTTTGGAAAGCTGAGCCAGGAGGACCCAGAGCCATCATAGGGATGCTAGGGGGCTCAACACCTGTTTGAGTTGTGCCATTTATGTATATATCATTGTTCCTCCTCGGTCACCTCTTGCTGGTTGTGGGAATAACTTTGACTTAGAAAGTACTCCAGTGAGAACTTGTCTCACACAGAGAAACCTCCTGTAAGCCCTCTGCTTTGGACTGGCCACAGATAATAGTGTAGGCTAGGCACGAATTCTTACCGAGTGCATTCTTCAAAGACTTTTTTGGAATGGTTTTGGTTCAGTCTTGATCTACATTCTCTCACAACATTTGGAGGTATTTTTGGTAAAGGAGCTGCTACCTAATAAAGCACAAACCATATACAAAATGATTAGTGATTTCATAGTTTGCCAGTTGTAAACAGACCCTAATGCTTATAGTTTTAAAAAAATGAAAACAGTAAGTGTATGAAATAACAAGTCAAAGTGCCACCTGCACTCTCCACCCCGATCCTATCCTCCAGAATTCAGCCTATTGTCTGCCCTTGGGAACTTTTCCTACACATATCAAAGCACACACAGAACAGAAAGCAGGTTCTTGAAGAGAGCTCTGCATACCCTTGTTCATTACAGTAGCATCCTAAAGAGATAGTCACACAGCTAGGTTCACTGTAGCAGTTCACTTAACAATAACAAAAGGCGTCCACAGGTGGTGTGAAGGTTAAGGTGGCTGGATTCCCACATGGCAAGGACTGCAGTTCAAGTCCTGGACAATGCTTAAAACAAACAAACAAACAAACAAAAAACAGTAACCACGAGGTGGAAGCAGTCCAAGCACATCTATAGAGCTACCACATTTTCTTCAGTGACCGCATGGTTTTCTAGTGATGAGTTTATCAGCATCTATTAAACATTCCAGTTGCAGATTCCCCCACTGCAATTACCACTGCCATGAGCATCTCTATACATTTATTTTCTAGGCTATATTGAGAGTCCTATGAAAAATAAAAACTAAAAATAAAATTACTAACTTAAAGGATACACACTATTTTTTCCCCTAGATTTTTGCTATAGGGTACGTGTACTCACTGGAGAGAAACAGAAAGAGAAAGAAAGTGAGAAATCATCTTCCTGGGGGGATGGCCACACCACAGCCCCTTCCCTTCCATTCTCCTCTCAGGATCTGTGGCATGCACATGTAGTCAGTGTGTTTTTCAAGTCACCAGGTCTGAGATGTGAACCACACAGTCATGTGGAATCTAGCACCTTAACAATCATGCTACCCACTGGCCCAGCATACTTTTTTTTTTTTTTAAAGTTTATTTATTTATTTCATGATAAAAAAAAAAAGACGAACACCCTCAAAGGGTGTCATGATATGATCCTCCCCCAGCCTTCCTTGCTAGCCAGGATCACAGGCACTAACATGTGTGCCCACTACATCAGGTACTGAGCAAGCCCTACACATTTTACACCTGATCACCTCAGCAACCATTCTTCTGCAATCACAGGGAAGCAGAATTTCACTTAAGTGTTCTTAGAATTTTTCTGTTCATATGGCAAAGATTAAAAAAAAAAAAAAAGACACTTTAATTGAATACCTAGATCCAAAGAAGATGTATTTTTTCATCCTAAACACAAGTTTTTGGAAAGCTGAGCCAGGAGGACCCAGAGCCATCATAGGGATGCTAGGGGGCTCAACACCTGTTTGAGTTGTGCCATTTATGTATATATCATTGTTCCTCCTCGGTCACCTCTTGCTGGTTGTGGGAATAACTTTGACTTAGAAAGTACTCCAGTGAGAACTTGTCTCACACAGAGAAACCTCCTGTAAGCCCTCTGCTTTGGACTGGCCACAGATAATAGTGTAGGCTAGGCACGAATTCTTACCGAGTGCATTCTTCAAAGACTTTTTTGGAATGGTTTTGGTTCAGTCTTGATCTACATTCTCTCACAACATTTGGAGGTATTTTTGGTAAAGGAGCTGCTACCTAATAAAGCACAAACCATATACAAAATGATTAGTGATTTCATAGTTTACCAGTTGTAAACAGACCCTAATGTTTATACTTTTAAAAAAATGAAAACAGTAAGTGTATGAAATAACAAGTCAAAGTGCCACCTGCACTCTCCACCCCGATCCTATCCTCCAGAATTCAGCCTATTGTCTGCCCTTGGGAACTTTTCCTACACATATCAAAGCACACACAGAACAGAAAGCAGGTTCTTGAAGAGAGCTCTGCATACCCTTGTTCATTACAGTAGCATCCTAAAGAGATAGTCACACAGCTAGGTTCACTGTAGCAGTTCACTTAACAATAACAAAAGGCGTCCACAGGTGGTGTGAAGGTTAAGGTGGCTGGATTCCCACATGGCAAGGACTGCAGTTCAAGTCCTGGACAATGCTTAAAACAAACAAACAAACAAACAAAAAACAGTAACCACGAGGTGGAAGCAGTCCAAGCACATCTATAGAGCTACCACATTTTCTTCAGTGACCGCATGGTTTTCTAGTGATGAGTTTATCAGCATCTATTAAACATTCCAGTTGCAGATTCCCCCACTGCAATTACCACTGCCATGAGCATCTCTATACATTTATTTTCTAGGCTATATTGAGAGTCCTATGAAAAATAAAAACTAAAAATAAAATTACTAACTTAAAGGATACACACTATTTTTTCCCCTAGATTTTTGCTATAGGGTACGTGTACTCACTGGAGAGAAACAGAAAGAGAAAGAAAGTGAGAAATCATCTTCCTGGGGGGATGGCCACACCACAGCCCCTTCCCTTCCATTCTCCTCTCAGGATCTGTGGCATGCACATGTGATCAGTGTGTTTTTCAAGTCACCAGGTCTGCGATGTGAACCACACAGTCATGTGGAATCTAGCACCTTAACAATCATGCTACCCACTGGCCCAGCATACTTTTTTTTTTTTTTAAAGTTTATTTATTTATTTCATGATAAAAAAAAAAAGACGAACACCCTCAAAGGGTGTCATGATATGATCCTCCCCCAGCCTTCCTTGCTAGCCAGGATCACAGGCACTAACATGTGTGCCCACTACATCAGGTACTGAGCATCAACGTTCCCTGTGACTCCAGGATTGCAGAGCACTGCTCTACTACTGTGGTACCACGGTTGGGCCAGATACACACATTTAATTAATTAATTTACTGAAGTTTTTTTTCCCTCCATAAGCTGTGTGCATTCACAGGAAAGAGACAGAGACAGAGAGAGGGAAAGTGAGAAATCATCACCCACCTTCCACCTCCATGGAGGACAGCTATACCACAATCTCTTCTCCTTCATTCTTCTGTCAGGACTTTGGGTATGCAAGCGCACACACGCACGCGCACGCACACACACACACACACACACACCTGGTGTGATTTTCAAACTGCTAGGTCTGGGACTTAATAAGCAATTAGTCATGTGGAGTCCAGCCCCTAACCGCCACACCACTTGCTGGTCCCCAGGTACATGCATTTTAAACACATAATTATTCTGAAACTGACTTCCAAAAAGGTGATACCTCTTGACATTCCATGTACAGTGTCCCCATGTACCAATTCCCCATTCTCTTTAGTCCTCATTTAGAGGATTCTAAAAAAAGAAAACATTTGAGAAAGCTATTGTGCACAGATTTAATGGGAAAAAAATGCCCACATTATGTTCAGCTGCACAGTAATTTATAATTAGGAATAAGTGCATTCCGTACTGGTTTCTTACTGTGGTATAGCCTAGCTACCATAACAAATTTTCTGTTTTCCATAAATTGAAGTAGCTATTTCATCAAAGAAGCTGAAATACTGATAGAAATACACACAAAAAAAGAATAATACTCCCTGGCACGCTGTCTCTTCTCAAATCTTAAATGTTCCGTATGCAGGTATTTATCAAATGCTGAATGGTCTCGCTTCAACCAGATCAGTAAAAACACAGAGGGAAAAAAAACCTGTTCAACTTACTTGACACCGTAACTTGTGAATATCATGCCTGAGACCAGAGGAAATTAGAAAATTCTACACTGACTGTGAATTCTATGCTGAGAGCAAGAAAAAGTCATGTATGAAAGTGACAGGGAGTGGTGCCAATTCCGTAGGTTTTGGTCAACCAAGGGTAGAAACTGTTAAACTAAGCTATATTGGCCTGAGATGACCTCTGTATTCAGATGTCTGAGCTCCCGTAAACCATCCAAAAACCTCACTTGAAAATCCACTTCTTAGCGAGTTGCTAAGTCACAGCCACTTACAGCAGCCACACTTTAGTCAGTCACAGACAGCCCACCCTTTAGACTGCGCGCGTGCAAGCAAACATCGAGCTGTAACCAATCCAATTACTTCCCTCATTCTCATTTTTTTGTACATCACTTCCCCTTTCTTGTACAAAAATGTTACCCCATCATGTGGCTGTTGGGAGTTTCATGGAAGCTGTTCTGTGGGTTGCCTGATTTGAATAAGTTTTCCTCAAATAAACTCTGCCAAATTAAATTTTTTAAAATAATAATATTGTTATAGTTAATAATAACAGTTACATCACTGGACTCTCACATGGCTGACCATGGTTCAAGTCCCAGAGTTGGTGGCCTCAAAATCACGCCAGGTACGTGTGTGTGTATGTCCAAGATCCTGGGAGGAGAATGAAGGGGAAGGGACTGTTGTATGGCCATCCCCTCTTAGGGGTGATTTCTCACTTTCCCTCTCACTATTTCTGTGTGTCTCTCTTTCTCTCTGGCAAGCACCTTAAGGCAAAAACCTCTAAAAAAAAGGGATCAGTGGTTAATGTAATGGTTACCTTGCTGGACTCCAACATGGCAGACCATAGTTTGAGCACCATTCCTGGAGGCTTAAACTCATGCTGGGTGCATGCACATGTGTGCCCAAAATCCTGAGAGGAAGATGGAAAAGAAGGGATTGTGGCATGGCCATCTCCCAGGAGATGATTTCTCGCCTTCTGTCTCTCGAGTGAGCTCGCGTGTCCTATAGCAAAAATCTCTCTCAAAAAAAGAAAAAGAAAAAGAAAAAGATACACACACACACACACACAAACACACACACACATGACCTAATTTATCCTCACAACAACCCTGATGGAAGAGCTTCAGAAAATTACAAAAAGTGCTGGTGGACCTACAGCAATAAGTGAGAAACCCACACTTTAACCACACACTTCTGGATGCTTGGATGCAGTTTCTTTCTATGCAGTAAGGCTACAGTAACATTAAGATGGGCCTATTCCTTTTACCATTTAAGAAAACAAGTCTGGGGCTGGCCCCATAGCACAGTGGCTAAATGCTGTGCATTGGGAGCCAGATCCCATGTGGATGACCACAGTCCAACTCCCAACTCTGCAGCTTGAAAAACACGCTGGGTGTATGTGTATGCCGCAAATCCTGGCAAAATGTAGAAATGGAGGAAAAAGAGCTGTAGTGTGATTATCCCCCCTTGGGGGGAATACTCTCATTCTCCAACATGCCCTACAACATTAAAGAAGAAGAAAATGAGTTTGCTCATTAATTTACTCAAAAAGTATACATTCTCAAGGTGTTGGAGATAGTAGGAAAAAACCCCCAAAATCTTAGAAGACAGGGTCAGTATCTTAGAAGTCTATTTCCCCTCCAAAAATCACCATTTTTGAAACTAAATACAGGTTGATTCTATTAAGGTTCTATTTTTTTATAATTATTTAATTTTATTTATTATTGTTATTTTTAATTTTTTTGGAGAGGTTTTTGCTATAGGGCATGTACGCTCTCCAGAAAGAGAGAGAGAGACAGAGAGACAGAAAGCGAGAAATCACCCCCCCAGAGAGGATGGTCATGCCGCAATCCCTTCTCCTCCATTCTCCTCTCGGGATCTTGGGCATGCATGCACACGCACCCGGCGTGAGTTTAAGCCACCAGGTCTGGGACTCGAACCGCACCGCAGTCAACTACATGGGAGTTCCGCGACATAGCCATTATGTTCTCACTTGGTCCCAAGGCTATTTAATTATTAATTCCAATAGAAATCCTATTTTTTTGCTCTCGTATAGAAATACAATTAAATAATGCATAGTGACCTAGTCTCCTGAACCTTGCTTAACTCATTTATTAGTTCTAGTAGTATGTATGTGTGTGTGTGTGCTTATCATTGGGATTTTCTATATACATGATCATATTATCTGTAAATAGAGATAATTTTATTTCTTCCTTGCCAATCTAAGTAACTTTTATTCCTTTTTCTTGCCTAATTAACCTGGCTAGAAATCTCAAGTTGAAACTCCAGTTAAGTGGAAATAGTAAGAGTGGAAAACCTTGTCTTACTCCTAATCTTAGAGGAAAGTTTCCAGTCTTTTGCATTTAAGCATGATGTTAGCTTTGAATATTTTGTGGATATCATTTATCAGGCAGAGAAGTTCCATTCCATTTCTAGTTTGTTGAGTGTTTTTACTATAAAGAGCTGTGGATATTGTCAAATGTTTTTTCTGAGCCAGCAGGTAGTGAAGTGAGTGAGGTGCTGGGTCTCACATAGCTGACTCTGTGATTAGTCCAGAAACAGCAGCTAGAAAAATATACCAGGTACATGTGTGTGCATGCACAAAAATCCAGAGAAGAGAATAGACTATGGCATGGCCATCCCCCATAAGGGGTGATTTCTCACTTTTCCCTCTTTCTCTGGCAAGCACACCCACCCTATAGCAAAAACCTAAAAAAAAAAAAAAAAAAAGTGATCATGTAGTTATGGATATACCTTATTCTATTAATATGGTCCATATTCACTGATTTCAAATAATGATTTGGGAAATTGGAGAAATTCCACAGGGTTTTGTTCATGACTCTTAAATTGTAAATTCAAATGTGGCTGAATTTTAATATTTGGAAATCCTGAAAGGAAAACTAAAAATAAACTGAGAATGCTTGAGAGACAGGATAAATAAATGCAAGAATGAATACATACACACAAATGCCTTACTTTTAGGTACTTTGTATATCCTGGGTTATTCA